TATTCCCTCTCGCTCTTTCCTTTAGAGACAGAGAGGGGGGAAAAAAGAGCTGAAACAATGGTGGAGCAGTCCAAAACCTTCCTGGCTTAAAACAATACCATCAATCAATGTAAGCAGAGAAAACAAACACACAAATTTATTAAGAGGAGCTCTACGACGCTTGTGTGCTTTAACACTTTACGTTCAGACACACACACAGGAAGTACCTAATTACTTTATCTGCACAGCAGAGGGAGAGAGCAGACACATGACTTTCCACAGCCGAGGAGATTAACATGAAGAACTGTGTTTAGTGTTCACCCAAGGCTCTGTTCATATCAGATCTTAGCCAAGGGCTCGTCTTCATCTCAGCTCAAGGCAATGAGAGTCTCCAGCCTAGAGAAAAGAAAGACTTCATGCATATATTAACCTAAATGGGCCTGCAGTGAGTTTAGTCCCAGGTCGTCTGGCTCTGTGCTCCATGTGGCAATTTCATGTGCATTTAATTTCACAAAATAAGAATAATAATATTATAGGCTACAGTTGTTATCACATGCTCAGATAACATCATATCTTCTAGTCTTTTATTGACATCTATTGCAAATTTCTACCTGCCTACAAACATGCAGCTTTGTTAACTATAAAGCTATCCTGTTGTGACAAAACCTATAAAATTGGGGGCATTTGAAAGAAAAAACTGACAGTTATTTAGAAGTAATTGTTGTTGTTTTGGTCATTAAAATTTGGTCAAGTCGACCGTTGTAAGTTTTGTAAACATCTGTTCCAGTGTGGTTTCCAGAAACACTATAAACTGGACAGGAACCCAACAACAACCAATAAACCAGTAAGAGAAATCCTCAGATCCTTTGTCTGTTGTTGGCAGTTTACCATGGTGCATACTGATAACAAGGACAAAGCAAGGGCCAGAATCAACTTTAGTCAACAGTTCATCACCTTTACAATCAAGTAACTATCAGTTTTGCCAGAGTCATTTTAAATAAAGAAAAGAATAGAGATGTAAAAATATATTTATATATGATGATATTGATAATAATATTAATTGACATTAATGATCATTTAGGTAACACTTTATTTTAAGGTGTCCTTGTTACATGTACTTGCTATTATAATAACAATAAATTATGAATAATTACATGCAAGTAACCCTAATACTAACCCTAACCATATAGTAAGTACACGTTGTTAATTAATATTACTCAGTAATTATATAATTACACTGTAACAAAATAAAGTAAAATAATGTAATAGTGTAAATCATAATTTATACAACAAATAAAATAATTTATTTATAAATCAAATATTAAATTGATATTAATTAAATGTATTATCATAATAATACATGTATTAATATTGACAAAATTATTATTAATTTAATTTAATAAATAGTAATAAAATAATTTATTACTATTATTTAAACAATATTTATTATTATTATGATTATTATATTAATCATTTTAAATAATGCTTGTTATTAATAATAATGATCATCATTTAAAATTATATATATATATATTTTAAGATCATATTCAATATCTAAATTTATTTATGTATTTATTAAACATTGATATATTTATTTATCGTTCTTTTTTCATTCAATTTTAATTGGTCTTTCAATAGCAACCCACCCTGCTAGGTAAATGCTCAACAAGACTGCATACTCAAGGTATTAATCATACAGCCCATCTGGGTAGTTCTAGAAATTTGATTGTATCAAAAAGCTAAAGTATTTTAACATCTGGTATGTTCTACTCACATTCATTTACAGTCTTTTCGAAGCAAAACTGCTGAAGTGATTTATCTTGACGATCTCTTCTTGTTAGTCCTTTATTTTTTATGCCAAACAACTGTGTGTGTGTGTGTGTGTGTGGGTGCTGGTGTGTGTGTGTGTGTGTTTTCAATTAACAAAAAAAAAAAGAAAACATTAAACACAGTACTGCCACTGTGAAGACCCAGAGGTTACAAAGGTGAACTGGAAACCTCCATGGTTACGTATTATAAAGTGCCCACGACTCCAAACTCCAGATATCAGAGCAAGAGCAGAAAATCCCTGACCACCTCGCTCTGCCTTTCCTCATAAATGAGAGTGAACCATGTAAGAGCTCTGGGATGCAGTCCTTAACAGAATTCAGCATTCCCCAGTTCAAATTGAGCATGGCTGTGCCTCGTTCACTCTCTCTCCCCCTCTCCTCTCCATCCATGCTGAGCGAAGCATGAGCAGGCATCCCGCTGCCCCCCTGCTGTGTACAGAGCACAGGGAGCGGAGTACTCTAAACATCCACAACCCACGTGCTTCAGTCAGGATCCTGCTCAGATTATTAGTCCATAATCCAAAACCCCTGAAATCCCAGGGGCTAAGTGCACAAAGCTACGTGCAACCAGGGGCAGAATGTGGTCAGAAGCGGGGCTGGCAGGTTCGTTAAAAACGGTTATGTGTGAGGGGGCTCTGACACCTCGGCGTGCTGAAGAGGGGGACCCTCTGGATGTATGGGACGGCTGGTGGGTTACGGTACAGTTTGATTTCTGAAAGTGAGGAGGCTTACCCACAGAGAAAGAAATGCTCTGTGCCTGCCAGGCACAAAAAAGCTGAGGCTTAAAGAGCTACATGGCTTTGAAATATTCACTTGAAACAAGTCTCAAAACTCACACACGCGAAATCCGAGCTCTCCCGACATAGCTTCTTGATCTGAAGGCAACAGTTGGAAACGGCTACGTTGGCGCCATATGTGGAACTGCGTTGTGACCCTGGACCACAAAACCAGTCATAAGGGTCAATTTTTCGAAATTGAGATTTATACATCATCTGAAAGCTGAATAAATAAGCTTTCCATTGATGTATGTGGTTTGTTAGGATAGGACGATATTTGGCCGAGATACAACTATTTGAAAATCTGGAATCTGAGGGTGCAAAAAAATCAAAATATTAAGAAAATCATCTTTAAAGTTGTCCAAATTAAGTTCTTAGCAATGCATATTACTAATCAAAAATTAAGTCTTGATATATTCAAAGTAGGAAATTTACTAAATATCTTTATGGAACATGATCTTTACTTAATGTCCTAATGATTTTTGGCATAAAAGAAAAATCTATAATTTTGACCCATACAATGTATTTTTGTCTATTGCTACAAATATACCCCAGCGACTTAAGACTGATTTTGTGGTACAGGGTCACATTTGCGAAACTTCACAGGTGTAATTTTGCAGGCAAAGTAGCGCCATTGTCCATAGTCAGTGATGTAGCGATTCATGAAGCACAGCTTACTCAAGGCCAATTCCAGACTAAGCAGCTTTATATCAGGAAATGCAGTGAAAAGTTGAAGAAACTTGAATTCAATCTGAAATTTTTTATCTCACGTGTCCCTCATTTAAAATACCACATTGTGTGGATTCCTATTGAAACAATTGCATTTTGCCTGCAGAATTTCGCTGTAGAAAGGTAAATGTGACTGCACCTTTATTAACATAAAACTCACAGCCTAACGTAAGCAGATGCTATATGTCATACAGAGCTGTTCCATGCATATTCCAATTCATTGTCGTTGTTTTCTGGGCAAATCCTTTCGATGCAAATGAGGCTCTTTATAGAATGAATCAGACTCACAAACATTGGCTAAAGCAGTCGTCATTGTGCTTTTAAAGCAAAAACATGACACTATTAAAACATAAACAGGAATTTATTTAAGATGAATGTTTATGAATGTTTTCTAGTGATCATGGCAACCATAAAGAATCATTTTCGGCTTTGTAAAGAGTCGATTCATGAGGCTCAAAAGAGTGTATCAAATCATGGTATTCTGTCTTTCAGATCCAGCCGAGGTGTGAATTGCTATCAGCACTAATTTTGTTGCCGTATTTGCCCCAGTACCTGATTTGCATAATTCCTTCAATGAATCAGTTGCTAAAATAAGGCAAGCAAATAAACGAAATCCCATTCAGACTTTGAGACTTCAGCAATGATCAGACAGACAAGTCATTTAATGCTTGATTAACATGTTTACAGACACAGCATGTCATCCAAAGTCCATGACTGACATCTGAATCGTTTTGTTCCACATGCTCACATTCTTTGCCTATAGTGTTGTATTGAAGCTGTATGCATATGTTGTATCCTCTATTCAGTGGAGTATTATGTTCTTTCCACTGACATGAGCTGACATATATATATAAAGCTCATCATGAGCTGCCACAATAAACAGGAGTTAGTGTGATGTTGGTGATGATGGATTGTGAGTATTAGGGGTCAACTGTGGGGTCCAAAGAGACTTAGGCCAACTTATTTATAGTGACTGGCTTACAGCCAAACATGCCTGATCTGCTTTGCGTCCGACTCTGTTTGGACCCCCAATCGGGCATGCAGTCCCCTCTGAGTCCCAGCAGGTGCTTCCTTCATCTGCATTCCCATAGCTTGTTAAGACCGTCTCTTCAGTCCTGATGGAAAGCACGGATTATCACCAGTTCATCTGCACAGCATCGCTGAGTAATCAGCTAACACCAGAACAGGCCAGTTCAGTATGGCAGGCTTTGCACTTGTAATCTAGCCATGTAACAAGTGCCGGGTTTCATTGATTATTCCTTGTCAGCCTGGTTTTCTCAATGCATCTTATTTATGGTTGAATTGGTTTATCAAGAAGAGATTAGCTTTGTGAACCTGGAGGTTCTAATGCCGTGTTCTGCAAATTAAACCAGCCGAGAGAAAGATCCGTGGTCTGGACTGTGACATGTTGAGTTTGAGTGCTCTCTATACTAAGACTATCAAATAAAAGTGACAAAAGGCCAAAAATATGTCAGTCTGATGATTTGGCACATTAACGTTTTTAATGATCTTCCAGATGAACACTGGTCTTTTAGATTAGAATTGGATAATGAATCATTTTAATGTCAAGGTCGTAAAAAAAAAGAGCTATGGACTTAATGTGGTGAAAAAAAGAGATCAATATCTAGATAAAAGAAAATGTCAAAAATTCTGGTAGTTTAATATTCTTTTGTGCTTGTCTTCAAAGACCTGCCTCCCCCTGCCACCAGAGAGAGACCGCCCGGCTGTAAGACGGTGTTTGTGGGCGGTTTACCAGAGAACGCCACAGAGCAGCTCATTGTGGAGGTGTTCGAACAGTGCGGGAGTATCATCGCCATCCGCAAGAGCAAGAAGAACTTCTGTCACATCCGCTTCGCTGAGGAGCACACAGTGGACAAGGCCCTCTTCCTGTCAGGTACATGATCGAGAGGATTTTCTTGTGTCACTGCAACACCAACAGTTGCTCTATTTGAGAATGTTTTTATTTATTTAAATATGGACATATATATGAAAATAAAAATCATATAAAAAGCAATAATATTTAGGAATAGTTTAAATGACTATAATATATATTTACATAAATAAATATAATATATATTTTTTTTTTATCAGGCTCCTATGAAAGTATCATTGGACATTTTTGAAAATAAGGCATTCAATAACTGACTAATAACTGTTTCTTTGGCATTAAAGTAGTGGTGGGCAGTATGACCAAAAATTAATATCACGGTATTTTTCAAAGTTATACCGGTTTCACGGTATATGACGGTATTTATTTTTTATTTTTTCCATGCATGACCGGGTGTAAACCACATTTTCTACTGATTGAAAGAGGAAATAGGCTACTGCAGTAGATTGACTTAGAATGCCCTATTTTACTGTCATGATGAGTGAATATTGTAGAAAAATAATTCATATCATAAGAAAAATAAACACCGGTATTCGGTATGAACCGGTATACCGCCCAGCACTACATTAAAGTAAAATTACTTCACTTAAACATGTTGAAAATGCCTGATGAAAATGCTCATTTAAAAGAAAAAAATCTCAGACTTGGAGGTTTTTGCATCTGAAGTCTTCCTCTGTGTGTGTGTGTGTGTGTGTGTGTGTGTCATACACCTGTCAGTGGCCAGTGACTTGCGAGAATTTACCGGCCAAAAATATTTTTTACTGTCCATGAAACTGTATTTGCATTATTTCATGAAAAAAACAGGCAGAACAAATTAGGGAAACTAATAATAATAATAATAATAATAGTAATAATCTTTTTTTTTTTTTTATAAAAATTAAACAAATCAATAGAAATGTCAGTATAACACTGCTGAACTGTGAAGTATTTCATAATTTATTTTTTTTATTATTATTTTGAATAACAACAGTACAATTGCAATGCTAATATTTATGCTTGCTTTTTCGTTGTTTTCAAACATTAAACCATAGAGCTTTTATTTTGGTGGAAAAACATGTGTGACTTTTGTGAAAAGATCACAAGGCAGCACATCAAATTACATATTCATATTATTACAATGCAGTCTTTGCGATTTGATAATCACGCTAAACCAGATCGTTTTCTCAGGCAATTTTTAGAATTAATAAAAAGTTACTGACCTATATATATTTCTGTCATGACAACTCTCAGAGGGATTGGCATGGTAATGTACATGGCAATGTTAATGTATTTGATCTTGGCGGAATAGATCTGCTACGCTGCTGCTGCGGCAGAGCAAGTACCGAGACTTGCTTCTGACAATACATCCACAACATGCTGCTGTGAACATGTAAGAAATATTGCTGCTGAAAATATAACATACATGAAATAATCCCCCCCCCCCATATAGCATACATGAATCACCTCGTAGCAGATCTATACAGGTGGAGCTGGGGAAGGTGGAGGGTTTCTGAAGCAAGCTGCAACTGCTATGGCAAGCACTAGTCATATATTTGAATGTTGAGTAGCGAGCTCATTGGCTACCGATACAGGAGAGAACCAATCAGCTGTGCCATGTGATAATGATGTCATTAGGTCAGATTGAGTTAGACCTATCGGACTGCGCCATCTAGAGTTTCACGCCAGAACTCTGTATATATGCTGTTAATATGAATTTTATTTTTTAATTTGTTTTTATTTTCATTTACATATGTCATTGAAATATTTCAGTTGAATATTTTATACATTTATACAAAATGTGTACATTCATTGTAGATTGCACCTGTAAAATTTCACAATGTCATAAGCAAGAATACAAAAATGATGCTTATGTGCCACGCCAAGTGATTTAGAATAATTTCACTTTAACTTTTATCTAATGGAAATGAGGCCCATGTGTCCACAAGTTCCCTCTGGACTTGATGGATTGATGCAGAATTAATTAGGGAGGCAGGGCTTCCACACATCACTCAAAGATCTGTAGACGCTGGCCCTCGAGAGTCCATGACAAGAGGTCACGGAGCAGACAAGCGCCGACACCTAGTAATACATTTCTGCCTTTGAACGTTGCATATCACTGACCTCCTCGACACCGGTCACATGAGCTGCTTCTCTTATCCAGTCACATCTTAAATCAGTCTTTGTATGCAAATATTAGGATGTCCCTCTCAGCCACAGAAAGCAAATGCCGGCCGCTCCAATAATACCTTGTCCATTATTTATTCTTCTCTGAGTGTTGCTCTCTCGGTGGAGAGGGGCGAGACTGGAGCGGCGCTCCATATATTGCGTGGCCTCCTGACGGAGCTCTGCAGGCCTTTCCATAAATTATGGTGCTCATTTCTAACGTGAACACATTGCGTAAAATATTTATCAGCGTCTCTGGGCTGTAAAGCAGTGATAGAGAGGCGGAAGCAAACCGTGAAGCTCTTTCTCTCATTTCTGTTGACACGGCCGTCTGTGAATATACATTCTCCTTAAAGGGGTCATATGGTGCTGCTAAAAAGAACAGTATTTTGTGTATTTGGTGTAATGAAATGTGTTTATGCGGTTTAAGGTTCAAAAAATTTCAGCCTCTCTGTAATGTACTCGGAGCATCATGCGATTCATAATTCACTGGAGCCTCTTTCACATATCGCTTGGCTATTTGTCAAGATACTTTTCCAAGCAATTTTCTTTTTTATGCTGAAATATATGAACCTTAATATAAAATCGCTTTCTTTTTTCATCCCTATCACAAACCAGATTATTCTCATCCTTCATGGTTATCTGTGCTGGTTGGGTTCTGGCTTCGATTTCCTCATCTGAGTATAACATTGGGGGGCTTTTTACATTTTACACAGAATAAACAAATATGCATGGTTTGGCCTTAATATGTCAGCAAGCACATGTTAAAAGTGCAGATTAAGCATCAGAGAGAGTTTGTGGGAGGCTCTTTGTCACGGGTCACTTCATGAATCACTGTTGCTAATATGGTGTTTTTCTCATTACATTCTTGCAGTTTGATAAGGCTGAATGTTTTTCTGCTGCTCTCATTTTCTCGTCTTGTTCTCCTTCCTTTATTACCATTTAACTTCTTGCACTCAACTTTTCTTTTCCTCCATTTTCTATTTCCTTTCCACTCTTTTCTTGTCCTGTCCTTTTCTATAATTCCATTTGCCCTTCCCTTTCTTTCCATTTCCTCTTTTCTTTGTTTTTTTTTCTTTTATTGCTCTTCCGTCTTTTCTTGTCCTGTCCTTTACTCCCCTTTAACTTCTTTTCCTCATTTCCATTTCCATTATTATCTTTTTTTTCTGTTTCCCCTTCCTCTTCCTCTTTCCTTTCTTTTCCTTTGCTTGGTTCCCCCTTCCTCTTCCTATTTCCTTTTATTTCCTCTTTGCTTTATTTTCCTTTCCTGTCTTCTATTGTTTTTCCTTTACTCCGCTTCCCATTCTTTTACCTCTTACCCATTTCTTTTCTTTGATCATTTGCTTTCCTCTTTTCTTGTCCATTCCTTTATTCCCCTTCCCCTTCCGTTTCACCTTCCCCATTTCCTTTTGCTCTGTTTCCCGTTCTTCTTTTCTTTTCATGTTTTCCTGTCCTTTCCTCCCCTTCCTGTTCTTCTTTCCTTTGCTCCATTTCCCTTCCCCTTCTTCTTATTTTCCTTTCTTTTGTTGTCCTGTTCTTTCCTTTTCCCTTTTTATTTGGTCCTTTCCTTTCCTTTTTCTTTACCTTTCCTTTCCTCTTTCTCATTCTTGTCTTTACTTTGGCTTTACTCTGTTTCCCCTTCAATTTCCACTTTCTTTTCCTTACTCTTCCATTTCTTTTCCTATGTCATTGTCCATTTCCATTTCTCTCTCCTGTAGGTTATAGGATCAGGCTGGGATCAAGCACAGATAAGAAGGACACAGGCCGGCTGCATGTAGATTTCGCTCAGGCTCGAGATGACCTGTACGAGTGGGAGTGCAGACAGCGCATGCTGGCCCGGGAAGAGAGGCATCGGCGCAGGATAGAAGAGGACCGCCTGCGGCCCCCCTCGCCACCCCCCATCGTCCATTTCTCTGAGCACGAATGCAGCCAGTTAGGAGAAAAGCTCAAAGGTGGGACATGTGACGTGTCATACTTCTGTCACAGTGATTTTGTTGCTTTTGTCTGTCACACCTCTGTTGTTTCCTGATGCTTGTGAAGAGGCTCCTACAGTCAGTGTGCCTGTTGGCTGGATGCATCAAAAAGCTATTTGTCTCTTTGAGTTTGACGTTCCATGCGGTTTAATAGAAACCATCTGTTTTGCGAATGCATCTCGATTCTCTGTCTGAGAGAGAAAAGTGTATTATAGAGAAGCTTTTGAGATGAAATCAGTTGAAATTAGCCATGTGTATTAACCACTTTTCCATATGTAATGGTTTATATGCAGTGGGAATGCAGTTCTGCTCACTTTTCTCAGGTAATAGATGAAGGGACGAGAGGACAGGATGATTTTGCATGCTGTTTGCTGCAAAAAATCTCAACGGCATCCTTATATCTGCTAGATTTTTCTGTATAATCAATGTTGGGCAGTTTTTGACAATTATTTTTGAATCCGTTAGTTCTGACTTATTGAGTCTAAATCAGATAAATGAGCAACCAAGTCTGATGGAGAGGGATTTCAATTTGATGACACATTGATGCAGTCTTAAAAGGGTTGATGGATTATTTGTTTAAATTATTTGACAGTGTTTTTTGATTATCTGTAGTTAGGACTTCCATAAATAAATCAAAGCCCCCTAGAATTCTCAGGCAGACATGTGTTTGTGTGCTTTACAGGATTACAGCAAGAAGAACAAAATAATAATTATTATTATGTTTGTCTTTTTGTTGTTGTTTTGTAAAGTCAGTCATCTTCGGTGTGCAGACAGCAACAGTGCTTCATCTGTTGCACAGTTAACGCCAAACAGCTCAGCAAATCTCTGCCAAACTCTTCTTTTTGTTTTGTTTTTGTTTTTAATTTGCGGATTTTAAATAAACTCAACAACACTAAAGAATAATAGATTTCTGGAAGAGACTCCCTGTGGCATTCATTACAGTGATTTTCAGTTTTCTGTTTCTCATCTCATTCCCAGCCGAAAGTTGCAAGCCAAAGCTTTGTAGTTCGGAGCAATCAGCTTGACTGTTTTCCGTTCTCCTACACACACACACACACACACACACACACACACCTGTGTGTCTCAGGACTTCATGAACAACTGAATCAATTTTTTAAGTAATATTACCACTTTCAACAGAAAGCACACAATAATATCCGTGAGTTATGATTGACAAGGTTTGATCATCCAAACCTGTTGCATGCTGTCGATGTCCGTCCCTGTCCTCTTGTCCTTTCCTAAATGTCCTCTACTTTGCTAGTGTGCATTCCCTGTCTTTTTTGGCCCAGTAAACATGTCTTGCTAATACGTTTTGACACTAGAAGGTCCCAGATGAGAAGTGTTCCTCTCCAACATTGCACTCAGCTCTCGTCCCACCATCTGTTTCTCCCCCACCGTTTTTTCTTTCTCCACTCAGACGACTCCAAGTTTGCCGAGGCCGTGCGTGTCCTGCTGACCTGGGTGGAACGAGGGGAGGTAAACCGCAGAAACGCCAACAACATCTATTCCATGATCCAGTCCTCCAACAGCCACATTCGCCGGCTGATGAACGAGAAGGCCGCCCATGAGAAGGAGATGGAGGAGGCCAAGGAGAAGTTTAAAAACGCCCTTGCTGGGATTTTAGTACAATGTGAGTGTTTTTCTGTTTCTCATCTCATTCCCAGCCGAAAGTTGCAAGCCAAAGCTTTGTAGTTCGGAGCAATCAGCTTGACTGTTTTCCGTTCTCCTACACACACACACACACACACACACACACACACCTGTGTGTCTCAGGACTTCATGAACAACTGAATCCATTTTTTAAGTAATATTACCACTTTTAACAGAAAGCACACAATAATATCCGTGAGTTATGATTGACACGGTTTGATCGTCCAAACCTGTTGCATGCTGTCGATGTCCGTCCCTGTCCTCTTGTCCTCTCCTAAATGTCCTCTACTTTGCTAGTGTGCATTCCCTGTCTTTTTTGGCCCAGTAAACATGTCTTGCTAATACGTTTTGACACTAGAAGGTCCCAGATGAGAAGTGTTCCTCTCCAACATTGTACTCAGCTCTCGTCCCACCATCTGTTTCTCCCCCACCGTTTTTTCTTTCTGCACTCAGACGACTCCAAGTTTGCCGAGGCCGTGCGTGTCCTGCTGACCTGGGTGGAACGAGGGGAGGTAAACCGCAGAAACGCCAACAACATCTATTCCATGATCCAGTCCTCCAACAGCCACATTCGCCGGCTGATGAACGAGAAGGCCGCACATGAGAAGGAGATGGAGGAGGCCAAGGAGAAGTTCAAAAACGCCCTTGCTGGGATTTTAGTACAATGTGAGTGTTTCTTTACAGATGTTGCTTCTGTTTCAAACCCTAGTAAGCTGCTTACCCAGACAGCATTTTTGGGCATCATGAGCACATTTGCAACTCACTAGACTTGGAGAAATGTTAAATTACTGATGATAAAATGACTGTTTACTACTACAAAAAAAAACAAAAAAAAATCACTTTGGGGTTTTCAGGCACTCGGACACATAAAAGATTTTCAAATAGAACTGGAAAATATTTTTTTTTAAATGCTGTTTGAGGGGTTGAAACGTTGATTCAAATTATTATTGGATTTTTGGGCTTCTGCTGATTTCCATTATTGCTGGTTGTGGATTTTACATGAATTATGATAGCTCACAGATCAGAGCTCTGCTGTAATGAGACCCAATTGACCCAATCGCAGCTGGTGGCTGTAGATTTGCATTTCTCTGAGGCATTGCACAAACCCTGAAATGATTTCACCTTTCAGAGCAAATGTAAGGGCAAATACATGACCACTGACTAATACAGAGATTTGATAACACATTTCACACATCTTCGGGTGGTTATTTTAATTTTATACGCCACAATTCACATTTAGACCTCCAACAGCCACATTCGCCGGCTGATGAACGAGAAGGCCGCCCATGAGAAGGAGATGGAGGAGGCCAAGGAGAAGTTTAAGAACGCCCTTGCTGGGATTTTAGTACAATGTGAGTGTTACAGATGTTGCTTCTGTCTTAAAACCTAGTAAGCTGCTTACCCAGACAGCATTTTTGGGCATCATGAGCACATTTGCAACTCACTAGACTTGAAGAAATGTTAAATTACTGATGATAAAATGACTGTTTACTACTACAAAAAAAGCAAAAAAAAATCACTTTGGGGTTTTCAGGCACTCGGACACATAAAAGATTTTCAAATAGAACTGGAAAAGATTTTTTTTTAAATGCTGTTTGAGGGGTTGAAACGTTGATTCAAATTATTATTGGATTTTTGGGCTTCTGCTGATTTCCATTATTGCTGGTTGTGGATTTTCAATGAATTTTGATAGCTCACAGATCAGAAATGGGTGCTGTCAGCTACCGCATGATTACACTTCACTTCCTGCCATCATGATAGTGCTCTCAACGCAGCAGTGCTTTGTACTTCATTGATCCAATGCCCAGAGAAATGGAAATACCACTCACACACATATAGTTTCCTTGATGCATGGCCAGGCGTAATGTTCAGTGTGTTCAGTGTGAGAGAATATTTCATTAAAATGCAACTGGGGTTCAAGAAATGGAACAAAAATGAATACAGACTCATTGAAAGGTCAAGGCAGAGAAAATCTTGCCTTGAAAATTAGAAATTTGCAAAACAAAAAAAAAAGTGTATTTGAAAATCAAACATATGCATCTGTTGAAGAAAGTGTAATTAAATGTTCCAGCGTGGCGTGTATTTACTGAAGTACCAGCAGGAGGCATTCAGACATATTCATTTAGAAAGCTACACTTTTGAATGCAACGGCAAAGGTTGTTTTACTGTTTACTCTAAGATAATCTGCCCAACTTTTGACCTCAGAAGCAGTTTACGCTTTGCCGTCAGTTACTTTTACACTGCAGCTTTTCCACGGTTGGGTTTTATAGTGTTCACGCTTTGATCTGAGATCAGTGTGGACCAAAGGTAAGTTCTCCAGACGCCTCTACCACTTTGAGCTGAATGCAGAAGAAGGTAGAGTATGTGAAGCATTAGCGCACAGCTACAGGCCTGTCATCTGTAACCTATCAGGCATGTGTAGATCATTTAGCTGCTTAGTCTCTGGACAGCACACCTGATGACCCTTCATAGATTAAAAGTAAGTAACCCCAATCACTAGATTGTCATGACTAGCTTGACTGATTGCTCACATAACCTTGACTTGAGCTTGTAGAGAATCAGATACACTTCTGATGGCATGCCACTCAACAATGCACATATGCATAGGCTTTTAACTGTTTCATAACACTTTCTGTGAAACCTGTATGTTTGATGCATGATAAAGGTATTCACAATTCCTCATAATGCACTACCCTTCGGATGTTTGGGGTCTTTCTTTGGAAAGTAATACATGGACATATAAATTGTTTAATAAAAATGGCAGTAAAGACATTTATATTGTTATAAAATACTTCTATTTCAAATAAATGCTGTTCTTTTGAACTTTCTGTTCATCAAATAATCTTGAAAAAAATAAATGTTTCTTGAGCAGTAAATCAGCATGTTAGAATGATTTCTGAAGATCATGTGACACTGAAGACTGGAGTAATGATGCTGAAAATACAGCTTTGATCACAGAAATAAATTACATTTTAAAATACATAAAAATAAAAAAACAGTTATTTTAAAATGGAATTTATTTAATCAAAAATACAGTAAAAACAGTAATTTTGTAAAATAAAATTACTGTTTTTACTGTATTTTTGATTAAATAAATGCAGCCTTGGTGAGCAGAAGAGATTTCATTCAGAAACATAAAATCTTATTGACCACAGACTTTTGAATGCTAATGTATGTATCTGTGGAAATTGTCTGTATCTGGATATTGTAAGGTGTGTTCAAACCACAAAAGCCCATTTTTAGATGTAACAATATTCCATTTATAGTTCCTTGTTATAGCAAATATATCATGAATAATTCATTGAATTATTTATTATGTTTTATGACTATGCTATAAAATAAAGATACAAATAAAGTGGTGAACAAAGGGGGGGGGGGGGCATTGTACAACTCTGCACAAAAATCAGTGCTTTTTCTTTGCAGGTGACTCTGTAGCAGTTGTATTTAGAAAGAAATTGTAGAGAGAATACATGAATGTTAAAGTTCACACCACACTTAGTCATAAAATTAGTCATATTGGCTTTGCAGACTTGCCAGAAAAATCCTTTATCTTTGTGTTTGTTGAATAAAAAGTGAATAATCTGTTTTGTATATATATTATTCAGTAGAATACCTCATGCGAGTCTTTCCCTATAATGCACTATAAAACATTATAATACTTTCGTGGTAACACCTTTAAAGAGTAAATGCACAGAAATGTGATGCAGATCATAGAGTTTAATGCTTCATACTCTTGAAAGTGTTATAACCATGGTTAAAGTATTAACAAGAACATATAATTGATTATAAGGTGGCATTATAAGGCATTATGAATTATTCTGCATCAATATACAGGTTTCATAGAGAGTGTTACTCCTCCTATACTGACTCGGCTGCTATTATTATTGATACGATTGGAGTTCCTGGTCCAGTCATGGTTCTCCGTCCCATGGACGTGAAGATCAGGAATAATGCTTGATTTATGAGTGATGTCATACAGTAACTTGACCTAATTTGAATGTCATGGTAAGTTTCTGGATATCCCTTCACAGTCACCACTGCACAACACCACATCACTGATGTCTGTCTATCAGAGCATTGTGCCACACACTGTAGTCATATAGAGATGGAGTTTCACAAGCCTCCGCAGACATAAACATATTTACGATTACGACTCTTCTCTAGAGACAGGTTGAAATCCAAGGGAGTTTTATTGTTTAGATGAGACAAATCAGCACCTTCCCAGAGATACAGACTTCATCTGCCAGAATATGTCTTTTCTCTTTGTCTGTTTGCTTGTGTTTTCCCTTATAGATATTTCCTTCTGAAGCCTGTCAGGTTATTCTAATGGGTTTAGAGCGTCTGCTTGAGGAAATAGTGACAGTACTGATGTTCTACCAAGCCTGCTCGAGCTGTCTGTCAGAGTTAGCTTCTATCAGGAGCTACACTAGCTACAGATGTTTCATCAGAAAGGTCATGTCACCTTAAGAGCACCTTCTAGTAGCTTCCCCTGGTATTTAACACTGTCCAGCCTTTTATCTGCATGCAGCAGATACAAAAACAACAACAAAAAAGAAGTATCTGGCACTCTAGTGATGTCTGCCCACGTGCAGCGGAACAGTCGCTCACGCAGAGGAGAGAAAGCGTTGTGACAGTCTAGCATCTGTCTTATCTGAACGCAGACAGAACTCACAGCAAAATAAATAATGAAATGCAGGATACCGCTAAAAGCTTGCTGGGGTTGCAGCCCTGCAGGAGGATAGAGCAGCAGGTTGTCGCAGTGGCAGGTGGGACTCGGTGACGGGGGAATTCTGGGTAAGACTATTTCAGCTTAAGACGCTGGATTCCGGCTGAGACGGCAGACGGGTGCTGTCACAAACCAAATCTGTATTTGCCCCATCTAATGGATGGTTTGTAGTAAAAGTGTTAATGTTTCTGTAAACAACCTCACAAAAACAGCTTTCTTATTATTACATAAATATGGGAGACAACAAGTATATATTTTAATGTATTGGACGATATTATAAATCTGTAGTATTTTATGTAAATAAACTCATTAAATTATCAATTTGCTACATGTCAGATATATATTTGATCTTAAAAACCGTTATTATATGGTATATTTTGGAGTCATATTAGTAAAGGCAAAATTATTTGCATGCACAGCATACCATTTTTCATACTAACATGCACTTTTGAAGAAAAACAACTCTTCAACACATCTTGTATCTAAAGCGATAAATCTTTGCTGCAATCTGTCATTATTCCTATAAGATACTGCTAAATTATATCTTATAATTAAAAATTATAGTAAACATTCAGATACATACAATAAGGCGATATGGTATCAGTAATAACAATACCAACTTAAAGTGAAAGGCATGCACTACCTTTCAAACGTTTGTGTTCGGTAAGATTTATGTTTGTTTGTTTGTTTTTTTAATGTTTTTCGTTCTTTTTTTCAACTGAAGTCTCTTATGCTCACAAAGACTGCATTTATTTGACCAAAAATATAGTAAAAACAGTATTTTTTATTAATAACAGAAATATTACTATCATTAAAATGAACGGTTTTCAATTTTAATATATTGTAAAATGTAATGTATTGCTGTGAGCATCATTACTCCCATCTTCAGAAATCATTCTAATATGCTTTGCTGTTAGAATGTGCTAGAATGTGAATTTGCTGTTCAAGAAACATTTCTGATTATTATCAATGTTGAAAACAATTGTGCTGCTTAATATTTTTGTGCAAATAGATTTTTCAGGATTTTTTGATGAATAGGAACATTTATTTGAAATGAATTTAGACTTTTTTGTAACATTATTAAAGTCTTTAAATAAATCCGAGTAGTTAATATTGGAAAAGTAAGGAATTCTGCTTTGCTTTTTGCTAGAATATTTGTTTGGAAATTTGAGGCAATGAAAATGCAGACAAAGGCCAGAAACATATTCAACGTATTCAAATGGAGAAGTGAAGGCTTGATCAATGCATTGCAAGTACAGTAAGGGGTAGCTAAGCAGCACTAGTAATGCTGAGATCATGATTTCTATTCCTAGGGAATGAATGAAATGGAAATGTATACCTTGAATGCAGCGTAAGTCACTTTGGATAAAAGCATAAATGGAAATGTCCCATATGTATCATGTTTTGTGTTACTGTGTCATAGCCTAGAACTCAAGGGGGTGATAGTGTTATCTTCAGATGTCTGTGCCATTAAATCAACATGCTGAGCAAGATTCCTTTCAGACTGTTGCTCTGCCATGACAGTTGAAAACTGACTGTAATGAAGACCATAATGATAGCTGGCCTTGCGGCAACGCTGAGAAGAAACATGTCCTTGATTTGCATTATGAACTTGTGAATGCAGTCCGACACATTTCGTAATGATGCATGAAATCAAGCTTGCACAGCTAGAGGCTGTTGTTTTGGCCTGAATCAGACACAAGTTTAACTATTACTACACAATTTTCATTTGTGAATAGTGAACATGCAAAACTACTGACACTTTGTCATGACAGGGTTGCTGCACATCAGACTGAAAACATAGTGCACACTTACACCTACACAACCTCAGACGTGCATACACTCAGGCACATGCTCTCCGTCCTGGCTTTGCCATCGATCTCTTCCATCAAATTAAAGGATGCTGAAGTCACTATCGATCGGGCCTCTCTCACTCTTGAGCAGCATGCCTTTGCTGCAGACAGATGTGTTTGGCAGCCTTCCTGACTCCCCAGGGTTTATTAAGCCTCTCTCAGGGAGAGAAATGGGATCTCTGAGTGAATCTGCATAGGTCACGTTATACCATCAGTAATGATGTCATGCATCCATCAAGCCGCTGGCACCATATGTTTTTGCAGTTACATCACTTAGGCTGATGGATGCTTTGATGTCATTTCCCAGACACTTTTTTTTGATCCATGATGCATTGCACATGCAGAAACTCTCTGAAAGATGATATGATGGTCTCAAATGATCTAGTCATGAGAGTAGCTAGGATATCACTAAAAGTAACAGGCACACTGAGATTTAAAATAACAGTACAGTTGATGAAATCTAGAGGACAAAACCTAGTGAGATGCCTCGCTGTCTGTTTCCTTCTGAAGGGCCGTTCACACTGACAGTGTTAAATAGTGATAAACCAAGCTGAAGTCATTTGGGTTCAACAAGAATTGGCGATTTCCAGTGATATATGCGATGCAACGAAATTAAGGAATCTTGTGCAAAATAACTGGACCGTACCAACCTTTGCTTTAGTATTTTGCTAATATAAGAGCAAGACATTATAATTAACCAACACAAAAAAAGGCATCACAATCACAAAATAGTTGGTAAAGCACTCCATTCTTTGCATTGATGTATTTTACTGATATTTCTCGAAATTTTACGTAATGCACTACCTTTCGAAAGTTGAGGTTGGTAAGATTTTTTCATGTTTTTTGAAAGAAGTCTCTTATGCTCACAAAGGCTGCATTTGTTTGAATAAAAAATACAATACAAACAGTAATATTGCGAAATTGTATTATAATTTAAAATAGCTGCTACATTTTAATTTTAATTTATTCTTGTGTTGCAAAGCTGGATTTTCAACATCATTAACATGATCCTTCATTCTAATACGCTGATTGGCTGCTTAAGAAACGTCCAAATTTTTGAATGATAGTGTATGTTTTGCCTTGTCGTCCACCCTCTTGGATGATTTTTTCTCTACAAAGGATACGTGTGGTGCTGCCTTACGTTTAGGGCACAGGAATGTGCATAATTATGCCGCCTGCTTTTTGGTTCAGCTTTCATGTCATTAGCGCACCGATGTTACCTCAAAACACCATCTAGGTTGACAGATTGCTAGCTTTTGGAACAGAGTTTATGTCATAGATGTCAGAGCAGCACATTCTATTAGCAGCTGTGATTCCAGCAGCTGTTCCCCTTTCGTCCTGCGCCTTCCTCCTGTCTTGCATTCTCACAGGAAATTGCTGCCATGTATCTCGAACATCCAAAGCACTCACACCCCCAAAATAGTTGATTGACTGCCTCGTCTCTTAATTCTGAACAGATGACTATTTCTGGAAAGTTTGCTTTAATGAGTTTACATAATTGAGATGTCCTCTCTAATCTATACACACTGAAGTAATGAGCCCAGCCTGTCATAGATGAAACATTCATCTCATTAGGCTTCCACTTGATGTACTCTTAAAATACAGGAGATGCTTTGACTATCCGGCCAGCAGAGTCGATGAAGGTGAGAGGTGTGTTGTGGTAATTGAGAAAGAAGAAACATGAGATGGAACAGTTGATTTCAGGTAATGCTAGGGAATTCATTATTCTGCTGTTTAATCTTCCCAAGAGAGTCTAAAAGTCTGTCATTATTGACTCACCCTCATGTCATTCAAAACCCGTAGGATTTTCTTTCTTCCACAGACCACAAAAGGAGATGTTAAGCAGAATATTCCAGCTGCTGTTTTATTGCATACAACAGTCCACAGCTACCAAAGAAGTAAAAAAAAATAGTTAATCCAAAAATGAAAATTGTCATCGTTTACTCAACCTCATTTCATTCCAAGCCTGTATGCCTTTCTTTATTCCATGGAACAAGAAGATATTTTGAAAAAAATGTCTCAGTGTTTCATAGAATGAAAGTCAGTGGGGTCAAGTCAAGTCAAGTCACCTTTATTTATATAGCGCTTTTAACAAGTCTATTAGGGTCTAATGTTGTTTGGACCCCGACGTCTTTCACAATATATTTTGTGTTCTACAGAAAAAAAAAACGAAAGTAATACAGGTTTGGAACAACATGAGTGTGAGTAAATGATGACCGAGTATTCATTTTTGGGTGAACTCTCCCATTAACATGATTTTTTTTTTTTAAAGAAGAGACAGAAGTGTAATCTCATTCAGATCTCATCCCTGCAGATACACCAGTCACCCCAGCTCAGTGTTTATGCTGTATAGAGGGGGGTAGGGGAAAACAACATCACTTCCTTCCAACCTGACAAATTTTTTCACTCCTCTGCACCTTCCCAATCGCCCCTCTCTCTCTTTCTTTCTTTGGACGCCCATACTGGCCCCTGCATCCCCTACCACAGTTGAGCAGATTGTGTCTGTATTCCACGCTGCTTCCAAACAAAAGGCATGGGACCATTTCTCCAAAGCCCAACGCAAGAACCTGGACATGTGGCGAAAGCAAGCAGAGGTTGGTGTTTTCATCTCTTTAAGTGAATGTGTTCATGCTTCACATCTTCAGAATTAAATATGCAGTATGTTACTAGTCTTTTCTATTTCCCCTTCCCTGCAAGCTCCCCATGTGTACTTGAACTATCCTGAAGTCCGTTTATTTTCTTTTGAGTTGAATGTTAATGGTATGTTAATGGTCTAAATGCTCAGCTCTCCCTGGTTGTAAAATGTGACCCGAGTCTGACCCTGAGATTTCAGCGGTTCACAACCGGCAGGTAACATTGAGTCTTTCCTGATAGAAACAATAGAAATGCCAATATCTCAAATCATTGGTACTCCAAAACCCCTTAAGCTCAGTAAAAGAGATATTTCTTCTCTATTAGTGGAAGCTGGAGACAGATACTGTAAGCTAATTAATGAATCCACATTTTTGTTGTTGAGGTGTTTTTCTTCTGTCTCTTTCCTCTGTTTTCTGTGGTCATTAGGTAAGTTTTAAGACATCTCTCTGATTATTAGTGTTTAATTAGCACGTTAATTCCCATTGCTGGCAACATTAAAACACTGTTTTACATGGATCAGAGGGTTGATATTGTTTACATCTAATAAAACTGAGAACTCCTGCTATGATGCAAATGATGAATGTGAAATCAACCGAGGACTGGACTGTCCATGTGTCATAAAAACAAGTTCCTAGAAGCTTACTGTAATTAATTCTCATGGCTTTAAATAAAATATGAATTTTTATCTATTGCGCATGATTCATCAAAAAAATAATAATGTTTGTCTGCATAATAGCACATGCTAAATGATTAAAAAAGAAGCAAGATGCATCAAGATGTTCTAGTGGGTAAACTTGACCTTCAGCCTCCTTAAAGTGTGTGTTGGAGAAGGGTAGTACTCTACAGTCAACAACAAACTCGCATTCAGGTCTGACTTTGTTCTAGTATGTAACGGCCACTTTTAATGATCCAATCAAATCACAAGCTGAAGCCCCATCCTTCCTTTTTTCTAGTTGAATTTTGTGTTTCACTACGGATGGCTTGCAAATGTTGTTTCATGCTCAGTTGAAGCCATTGGAACAGCTTAAAGATGCAGGTACTGTAAATGCCAAAAGAGACTCCTCACTGTTTAAGGTAGGTGTTTAAAATGAGTTGCCCATGTCCCAAATAATCCTTTATAGTTTCCTATCTCATAGTTGTAATTCATTTTCTCTCATTCATTCCTGATATACTTCTTAATTTCTGTTGAGCAAAAATTTAGAGTCATCAGAAATGGACGTTTCCATCAGAAACATCACAAAATTTCATCCATTTTCAACCCATTGTGAATCACATTAAGACAATTTGCTATTACTGCCAGTTAGTGCTTTGTTAACTTCATGAACTGAGTCCTTGATTGACTACCCTATTCGAAATTTTAAATGACATTTTATCGGATTTGTCTCCAAATGAAATATTTACATGTAGAGTTATTTTAACACTTACACTGTTCTTCATCTGTGAAAAGAGCTTATTAATGCTGCAGTAACTGTGTCCTTATCGAGTCCTTTCTTTTATTGAGTTCCTCTTATTTCACCTCTTTCATTTCTCCCATCAGATGACAAGAAAGGGTATGCAACAACCCAAGAAGCTGATGTAGTCCTCACTTGCTGTTTTCATCCTCCAATCCCCTCATTTGCCCAATGCTCTGGCCACTTGACTTAAGTTGAATATGTTTAGACCCAGATATGAGCTTCTTCTCACTCACTGGTTTGCATTGTGCTTTTAGCTTCACCGTGGCTATGACAGGAAGCTCTCTATGCTGACACAACGAGGTGAAGCCTCATTTGAGAAGAAGAGACAGTTAGCAGGCCTCTCTCACCTTTTACATTATGAGCCGACCTCAAAACTGTCGGAATCCCTCTAGTATGACAATGCAGTGCTTCAGGGATATGGCAAGCTTTCACAAGCCTTTGAACCTCACACTCAAAATGTTTATGTTCTAACAGAGCCCATTAGTGCCATTTAAACATCCTCTGCTGTAGGAGGAGGTTGCTTCACTCCTGAATCCGGTTAGTTATCTCTGGAGCAGGTGACAGTAAGGGATAGGTAATAGATGACACAGTATTAAACTATGTTTACTTTGCTTCTCACCCTTGGAGCTGTTTGAACCCTCGCTGTGATTCTCTCGTAAGTGTGATGGTAAGATGGCGGCTTCGGATGAGTTGTTGACCCAGAGCTACATTCAGGCTTAGTGGAATTTAGAGAATTTTCATCCTCATTTCCTTGAGCTCCCCTGCAAGTTTTATCGGCTATTTCTTGCATAAACAAAGCTTCAGTAAGTGTTGGTTCTGACACAGAAATGTCCAGTCAGTATTGCGGGTTCTCCTCGCTTCAAGCTGATTGTTATTCCAAGCAAATGGGTATTTGCAGTTGCCTAGACCAGTGTTTCCCAACAGGGGTGCCGTGGCACCCTGGGGTGCCGTCTGTCAAGAGCAGGGGTGCCGTGTAAAAAAATCCTTTTTTTAAATTTTTAAATTGCTAAAATGTTCAAAAAAGCATCTATTATATAATATCCATTTCTGATGTCGCCGATAATTAGAGATGCACCGAAATTTCGGCTGCCGAAAATTAGTTCACCGATCAGGTTTCACTTTCACGTGGTGTGACGCTCTGCGTATTATCCCGCTCTATGCGTGTGCGCTCCGCTCAGCGCTCCACTCGTATACCGTTCATGCAAATCGGAACAGCAAAGTCCACTCAAAAATTGAGCCGACAGGAAACATCGATGCAGTACAGTATTGTTTCTGTCTGCAATAGCCTTACTGTGCTGTAACGGTGTGGTATATGGGCAACTCTGGTAACACTGCCCTCTCATTCATTGATCTGCTAACCGCTTAAAAATATCTGTATGACATATTCTGCAGTTCTTCCCCGTTGTACCGAATATCTATACTTTTCAAATTATTATATCGAAGTTAGAAATTCAAATATTGTGACAAAATTAATTTTGTAGGGTGCCACAAGTTTGTTAACATTTCCAAAGGGTGCCGCGACTGAAAAAAGGTTGGGAAACACTGGCCTAGACGACCTTAATTCAGTCACAGCCCATTTATACTGTGGGCAGCTAGACATCCTGTGTTAAAGATTGGAGAAAAGTTTAAAGCGGGAAAGCTAGCTGCCTTCCTGCAGTAGCCCCATAACATCTATCCCTCTCCTGATTGGGCAGATGGGCCTGTTTGCTTTCGCGCTACCTGCTCGACCTCTGTAATTCTCAGTGAGATCATGTGTTGCTATGCTAGACAGATGGTAATGTTTATGCCGGGCCTTTTGTTTGTTGTCAGGGAGTAAGTCTCTCTCTCCCTGTGGCGGTCATGTTGTGTCTTTGCACAGCCTTATGCGATTGCTGTGTGCATGCCTCACTAGGCAGAGAGCTCCCCCATCAGGAGCGCCCACAGGGCAGCGTCCATGCCTAGACATCTGCTTCATCTGCCCGGTCCTGCCGATCTGTGGTGGCTGTGCAATCACTTCCTGCCATGTTTAAGCCCCACTGGCAGCCATTATAACACATTAAGAGTCCTTGTGCAATGTTTGACTGCGCGCATAGACAAGGTCGGCCAACATCAGGTGTCTCTCTGCATCGATACCATTGGAACAGCTCCGCCTGCTTTTATAGCACTTGACGAGTCCAATCTCTTTTTTACAATCTGATCGAATGGCTTATTACATTTCCGGCTCATATATTTCATGTGTGAGAGATCATCCAGCAGCGGTTGGGATTATAGACTCTATTTCTCTCATTCACAGGAGATCAGAAACATCCACAACGAAGAGCTGATGGGTATTCGGAGGGAGGAGGAAATGGAGATGTCGGATGATGACATGGAGGACGCCCCGGAAATCAAGGATTCGGATGATTCAGGTATCCACCGTTCTAGATTGACAGTCTATAAGCAAAAGATAGGATTTTTTCTTAAAGCAGCACAAGCGGTACTTCCTCATTGTTTTAAAGAGGCTTCTGTGCACCAACCGCATATAGATTGAATCCACTGGTGATTCGTCAGTTTTATGAGGAACCTTTTCTCAGATCACACAGTGCTGATACATGCAGATAGAAGCAATAACCAGCTAATTTTCACAGTATAAATGAAGAACGAGAAAAGAATTGAGCTTCATGGAAAGCTCCGACTGTTTAATGACCCTTGATATATACAGTATTTGAATTCAGACTGTGTAACTGCCACTTTTCTCCAACTTTTTTCTTTTTTTTCAATAAACATTCCCTCAGGAACTAATGAAGCTTATATAATTTGCCTTTCCTGTGAGACCTCAAAGTGGTTTTGAATCTTTTTGCATCAGAAAACAATTTTGACATAAATATCAATTACTGTGTGTGGCTTTTTTTCTCACAGCATATAACCAGACCTGGGAATTCTTATATCTTGAGTTTAAAACTTATTTATGCATACATATTTATTAATATGTGCACCACCCACATGAGCAATAGGCCACGGCTCCAATACCAGCATGTTATATTGATGATTTTACTTTCTCATGTGAGCAAATTAAATCAAATCTGTCTGTGGGCATCCAATTCAATCGTGGAGGAACAGTGTAATTTTTGTATTACTATTCCCATAACCCCTTGTGATTTTCTGAATGTGGTGCTACCGAGCTGAGCATTAGTCTGCCAGCTGTTCTTCCAGTTCATTTCAGGTTGCCTGTCACAAAAAAAAACTGCTGTTAGAGAACTTGTACTATTGCTGCTCAGGACAGAGAATCATGGGATAGCGTAAAATGATCACTGTGGGACACCCAGGGTCGGCGCCAGAGCACACAAAGTGAGGGGGCAGGCACAATTTATTGGGGGAGCCGTACTTTTTGGGTGGGGTCTGCTTTGAAAAAAAAAGGTTTCTGAAAGTAATTTTCAGATGCAACGGGGGAAAAAACGGGATAAACACTAACATGACTGTTTCCAATGAATGCAGCAGTGAGTGCGCGTGAGGCGCCTGCGCGATCAAACAGCTGAAACATAAAATAGACTACTCCCTCATTTTTGGTCATACAGTAAAGGCATAATTCGA